CTTTGAACCTTTGATACCAGTAAAGCTCTTCCTTTTTGAGTGTGGAAAGGTACTTCAGTTTAGCTGATTGTTGGAGGTCGGCCTCTGCAGGTGAGAGGGGTCTGGACTCCTCTAACCTATCAAGGTCCTGTATGATATCCAATTGTGTTTTTTTGGAGGTTGTGAAGTTTCCTTGTAGTGAGGAGCTCCAAGATTTAAGAGACGACTTCAGGATCTGTAGTTTTTTTTGTAGTTTGAACCCAACCCTTCCTGTGACTTGGTTAGAGGATGATTGCCACCATAAAGGGATGAGGGAGGCAAGGTCCTCCTCCTGAATCCACGCTAGTTCAAACCGGAAAGGTTTGCGTCCCCTAGGGACAGGCTGGGTGTTAGATAAAATTGGGCAGTGGTCTGAGGTGGGTTTTGGGAGAGTTAAGGCATGCGACACTGGTAAGGTTTCTTCCCAAGAGGGAGAGACCAGAAAGCGTTCCAATTTAGATAGAGTGTGTTGGGCCTCATGATCCGACCACATGAATTGATTCCCAAGGTGAGGGATCTCAATCAGCTCGTGTTTGGATATGAGATCTGAGAACTCTATCATGATCTTGGAAATAGTATTCGAGGAGTTTCTTTCGAAGGACCATCTGGTAACATTGAAGTCTCCACCCAAGCACCAAATGGGATGAGGTAATATGTCTTCAAGTTCTTCCCATATTCTAGGTCTCAAAGAAGACCGGTTAGGACCATAAACAGTAGTGAACTTCCATTCTAGGTTGTTTGAGTTCCGGGACAGGAGGACGGTGACCATGAAATCACCGATAAGATTGGAGATTCGAGAGTGTTCAGTAGGGTTCCAAACTACCCATATTCCTCCAGATGCCCTTGAAGCTGGGCGAGAGATCCATTGACAAGGGGATCTACCCCAAACATTTCTGACAGAGAGTAGGTCAGGCTTCGGTCTTTTGGTTTCTAAGAGCACCAATATGGAAGGTTTGAACTTAGCACAGAGGTCTAAAACGGCTTTCTATTTAGAGGCATGTCCAAGACCCCTAATATTCCATGATATGATAATCATCTTAGAATAGAAAAGGAGGTTGTTGCAGCCAATCTAGAGGACCTCCTGGCCAAGGAGCTTCGAATGGACAAGGAGGACTCAGTGGACAAATCCGAGGGGTAGAATTGTCCAGGGTTAATAGAGGAAAAGAGGTTAAGTAGCTCTCTATAACCTTTTTTCCTCCGCTGCAACCTATCCCCTGTGATAGAATCAAGAAAATGAGAAGCTGATGGTCTGAGTCCTCCATTTGAAATCCCGTATGTCTGAAGAAGTACTTAACCTTTTCTTTGATGAGATCTGGGTTGTTCTCAATGTGGCTGCCTTGTCTAAATAACTCCTCTTTGGACGATGAAACCTCCTGCAAGTTCTCTGAGACCTGGGAAGAAAGGCCAAACGGGCGTAGGCCTTCAGAACCTGGTTGAGGAAATCGAAGCGGGAAGGAAGCAAGGAGGCACAGGGGCAAACCAAACGGTGGAGGAGGGCAAGAGGACTGTGCAGGGAAGGGGGGCGGACCGGGGGGTCTTAGTAGTTAGATTGGGAGATATTGAAGGCGAAGATAATACCGGGATCATTGGACCATCCTTAAGAGGCAACACTGATAGGTGTATCAAGATCCTGTATAGGTGTATCCACAGATGGAGTTGAAAGTAGTGGTACACCTATTTGTGCCCATGTGTTGTTTTCTCCGTCTAGCGACACGTGTATTGCTTGAGAAACATGCGTAGTTCTCTTGGAGGCTTCGGTAAAGATGACCGGGACCTGGATTTCCCGGTGACCTTAATCCACTGTTCCGACAAGGCCTTCTTGTTAGTTGTAGGGCTCTTCCACGAAGCAAGGACCATCTAACAGTAATAAGAAAGAAGGAATCATATACCTTGATCCAGATCGTAGGAGGAATGAGGGAAGGATTAATGGTCTCGATCAACACTATCGACCCCATGGGAAGGACCTCCAATGATTTCCAGCTAATGGAGATCAGTTGGCCACACGCTTGGGCTACTTTCCTGAAGATGACTGAAGACCAAGCATGAAGAGGGATGTCATTAAATGTAACCCAATATTTAGGAGGTATCGCAGACCCTTCCTTGGGGGACCAATTTTAATCAAATTTCTACAATATGAAAGCAACAAATTTTTTAAGAAAATCCCAATATTTGAATCTCACTCTGAACTCCTAGCTGCCTATATATTTTAGTTTTCACTGAATCTGTATCTTGCTCTATATAATGACACACTGGGTTTAGAGGGAAAAAAATTCTCATTGGGTTTCTCTTCCTCGAATTCTATAATCTTGAGATATATGACTGTTTTGATAAATTATTTCTTTGGGGAATGGATTGCTTGTATTTTTTTTAGAACAATTTTTTTAAAGGAACACATTGGTGAAAATTTCTATGGAATTTTTAAAGGAACACATTGGTGAAAATTTCTATGGAATTTTATGTTAAATCATGATTTTTAATTTACTCCCACTTTTAATGTGCTTATCTCTAAACCAAAATTCAATGATATTAAATAAACGAATAAATATAAAGTTATAGGGAATAAGTTTTTTTAAAAGTACTTTTGAAAAAGATAAAATATGGAATTATATCAATTCCATTAAAATAAAGTGCTTTTTTTTTTAAGATCTTCTGAAAAACTTGAAGTTCTTAACGGATTTCAAAACATTGGAGTTTTTTTTTTTTTAAAATATCATATTTTAATCGGAGAATTGCTAACTATGATTTTACTTTCCGAAGTGAATTTGATGTCGATGAATCACATTAATTAAGGGAGTATTTGGAGGCAAAGGGATGCACTTCTCACTAAGCACCCCCTAAGATCCGTAGCATCCATCATACACCAATTGCACCTGCAATCCAAGAATGAGCAACCTGAAGCCCCGATTTCCATCTTGTTCTTCTCTCACACATTTTACTTCCCCCATCTCACTCTCTCTCTCTCTCTCTTCCAAAACAGTTTTCTCACAAGTTTATGTCAAATGTAGCAGAAGTTTTTCGAAGACATGGGATTTTGAGCCAGGACGCCATGAAAATGAAGGAGTTTAGAGCTTTTTGGTGGCTGAAAAAGATACAGTGATAAAATTTCTGGAGAAGAGAGTAGAAGGGGCATTCTCACTGAAGCACCCAAACCTCTTTCTTCCCCATTACAATTTTTTATGGTGGCTTTCTAAAAATTTTCTCTGGTCTTTAAGTCAAAAAGGTCATGACCCTAAAGAACCAAATTTTTCTCTCCAAAACAAGAATTTCACTCCTGGACTACTACTACTTGCTGTTTGCAATCAATTTCCTGGGTTTCCTTAAAATCGACAAAAGAATACACAATCATGCTTCTTAGATGAGAGAAATGATTACTCTCTCTATGATGAAGGTTGAGGTGCAGGGATGAGAGAGAAAATGGATCTGAAATTTCTAGGGAGAGTCTACCAATCGACAAGTCAGTTTAAGTCAGACAAGTCAATGATGTACTCAACGAGTTATGAACCATGACCCAAGTCGCCTCCCATCTCTGTCCCATTCAAATCTCAAACATAAATAAATTCCATCTTTACAACATTGAACTTCTTCCCTGAAATCTTACCAAAACTATTTAACTTAGATACCAAGGCCATGCTCAACACCTTACCTCAATTTTAGAGCAACCAGAGAACCTATTATCCTTGAATTGCATACGCCAGGAAAACCTTCAATATAACCCCTGACAACCCAACTCCTAGCGATCATACTAAGATTCTCGATATGGTAAACTTGACCTGAGATACAGATCCCTTGTCATCGGTCTCTCTCTGATAAGCCTTAGGAGTATAATTTATAACGATCGATAAAGAGGCCGTAGAAGTCTAGCAATGCATCTACTACATCCATTGCCAAATAAAAAATATAAACAATATATATTCCAAGAACCTACAATCCACATGATCCTAGCTGCTTCCAAGTAACTGTAGTGACAGAACTACGTAATTCATAATTTAGCAAGGCCCCTTAAAAGTCCTAACACTCCTCCCCAATCCCCGCACCCGACAAAATCCCCTACCTTATAGAAATCAAGAAATAAGATAATGGAAGCAATACAAGATAGAAGATAAGCTTAACAAGATTACTACATAAGTTATGACCCAAAAGGACATGATGTTGCTGCGAAACAATTTGAGAAACTATTCCTTAGAGCCACAGCTTTATAGAGCCATACCAGACAATGTAGTTCAAGCACCAGAAAACTTGCAAATCAATCATCTCCACCTCAAGGATTGGATCTTAAAAAAAATAGATTTCAAACCCTAGAAAGGGTCCATCTTGCAACATGTTTTTTAGACCATCAATTTCAAATCTTCACATTTGCATCTTTTTGGGAGCTAAAACTTCCACAATCAGTGGCCGAAATAGATTTTCAGGCATCACAATGGTTTGTGTTTCCATGGGGTTTCGAGGTGCAGCTTTACGAAATTCCGTAAAGCCACTACCCTACAAAACCGGACCCAAAAGCTTTTTATCGGAGTTGCTGTACAATAATTATCATCAATATCTGTTCACATGATTTTATGTCATGATGCTTCCCTTATTCCGTAAATCTAAGATATGAAAGTGAAATATTAGAGCTTGGACACCTGTACTAAGTAGGCCCAAAACCATGGATAAGTCAGGCACCACCAATGGGAAAAATGAACTAAAAATAAAAAAAGAAATCAAAACTACCATCAAAGGGTGTGAAGAACCATTACATTTTGCAGAAAACTGAGATTGTTCATTTAAGACGCATTAACCCAAAGGTAGTAATGGCTGTACGTAGACAAACATGGAAGGGAGTCTACATATTAACACAATGTATATATGTCAGGATCTAGTTTTGTTCCCATATCTACTTTGTGGATAAGGACCTTGCTCCATGTCAAAATATTAATAGATAAATCAAACTTGCAAACATAGATTTCACAGAGAATATCACAAACGAATCTCTTTGAACTCACCACAATTCCACGAATTTATCCACAGTATCGGGCGCTGCTTTCCTGTAAAGCTCTACTATGATCGGACCTTTTGAAGTATTAAGAATCTAGAGATCAGAGAAGGAAGGCCACATTTGTAAAGAGGGGCCCAGTCAGAACATGAACAATGAGTGCCATTAGCTGTAAACAGAGCACTTCAAGTAACATATATAAATGAAACAACAAAAAACACGAAATTCACAACAGATTGATGTTAAAGAACATAAAATGTCACTTAACTTGGAATGATATAAGAATATTAGGTTCTCAAATTGGATGGCGTCAAAACTATCAAACTCCTTATTTTTGGCCCATCATACTACCACAAACTTAGTTGCATCAAACCACAAAGAAGAAACTCCAAACACTAAAGAGTAAGCAAGCCTTGGTTGTGACTTCAGTTGATTACTTTCGAGCCATAAAACCAAAAGCCTGCACCTTCGCATACACATCCAGAGATGGCACTTTTAACAAGAGTCTAAAAACTGGAGACTCCAGTCAGGATCCACCAAGTCGACGCCCTGGCAAGTCCGAAGGCAAAACCATAGGACTCGCCATGACTCTCCTCCACCCCTAATTTCCTTGTTTAAATATCACTGATTGACTAAGTAGTCACCCAAATCGGACTGGGTGGCTCAGGCTCGGGACCCTCGCAAGTCCCAGCCCATGTCTGTGTTTTTAAATACTGCTTTTAAGTGTACCAAGAATAATTTTCTATAAGCCATATCTGTTCAAGTCACTTCACATCATCCACGATAATCTCTACGCATTCTGACTAATGAGATTAAGTATTTGATAACTCCATATCAGTAACAGCTTGACATAACATTTAGGCAAGAAAATCAATAGTTGAAATACATCATGATGATATCTCAGAAACCATTACTTACCGCATAATTCTGGTGTTCAGTTCCCTTGTGTTGTTTAAACCCTTCCATTTTCTAGAGAGCACACAAGGATCAAGGCAACAACTAAGAAAGAAATCATGGATAAAAAATACACAAACAAAAGTAAATTTCAATGGAGTAGAAAAAACATTCAATAGCAATAAGAATAAACAACGCAACAAGACAATTAGCAAAGGAAATTGGGGGGATAATAAGAATCCATGAAAATAAATTAACGTGAATTGCATCAATGTAAAGCTCCAATTGGCAATTTGGGTAAACAGTTCCTGCATAAAACATGGCCATCACTGAATGCACATCATGAGAACCACATTTCACACATATAGAAAACATTTAGCAAAAACATCAGCAAAACATTACAGTCATGTAGAATGGGATGTGACAGTTCTTGGACTCTGTTACAAAACATGCCATAGGAATGAGCACAAGAAATCTGAAGGGGCATCTCTTAGCGGTAGTCTTGAAACTCTAGGGATGTCTATTTCATAAGGCCGAGGCCCTGACAGCAAGCGTTTATGTCAACATACAGATGTGTTGAAAACAGATTGTTAAATATTTAAAAACTTAAAATTTTTCCGAATTATGTTGAACAGCATAAATCATGCATCATGACCCAAGTCATCTACAAAAGTATCAGGTGGTAAAAAATCATACTCAGAGAAAAGGAGGGGGAGGGGGGAGGGGGGGGGGGGGGACTTAGACAGAGGGGGAAGTCAGGGGGGGGGACTTAGACAGAGGGGGAAGTCGATAAGTCCCCTAACAACAAAAGCTAGATTGAAGAATACTGCCAACTGCAACTTGTGAAATCCATAATGTTCAAAGATATAACTACCCAAACAAGTAAAATTCAACATATCTTAATTGGAAGGTAAAATGGGTGGAGAAGCTTAGTTGAACTGGAAAGGCCCAAACATCAACACTATATGGTCTGAAACTGATTTTTAGGACACATTGGTTTTTGTCAAATGTAGAACGTGAAAAGTGCAGAAAGACAAATGACATTATAAGGAAGAGTCAAACTGGCCTCTCTCACTATCTACTTATTGACACAATTTCTCATAAACAACCTTAAATAACACAGAAACAGAAACAATACAATTTTCTTCGACAGGCTTGTCAACTAAAATTAGACCCATGCAAAGCAGAGGAAAATGAAAAACATTTGTTATCAAGAAGAAGGATCTTAAATACTTGAGGGCATTGCAGGCAAATCCCACTACTTTAAACATCCGGTATATGTCACTCCCCCTAGTCAATTCTCTCGACTTCCTCGGAATCGAAGGGAGCAGAAGACCCGGCAACTGATGATGGTGCTGAATCCCCTTCTTCATTGATGTCGCATTGTGTTGTTGGGATTATCGTCGACGTGACTCGTTCAGGAGGCAGGATATCAAAGGACCCAAATCAAACACCAAAAGGGGGTAAGAACTCAAAAACCTAGCCTACTACATCAACTTCAACAAACTAGCACACTCAACCCCAACCCCAACTGCAGTGGATTCTAAACTCACCCCTCCTAAACCTCAAATCAACATTCTTCCATACGTCAAGAAATAATCCAAACCCATCCAAATGGAAGAGATTGCTTGGAACACTGGGGATTGAGCAACCAAGCAAATAAAATTTCACGTTTAAATTTCTTCATGAAGTCTTGGACATTTGTAAAACAAAACTAGACTTCCCAACCCTAGCTCAAATTCAATCCATTCGACATATGAGGCCCAGCAATTGAGGCTCCATACCTGTCCAAGGTGCATCCCAAAAAATATGGGCTCTCTGAGACCCATGATTTTCTACAAAACTTTGTCATTCATCAGACATTTCTCCATCACAATTACTTTTCTCATGCGCAAGACTATCTATTATAGCTCCCCTGGTACTTAGGGGGATTTCATGCAACCAGATGGTCCTACGAAAACAATAAAGAACTCGCATCATTGCGAGTATAAGAGGCTCCTCCGAGTTCATGTATTGGCTTGATCTCAATAATATACTCCTAAATGGGGCAGCCTACACTTGGTCAAACAGCTCCACCACCTCTATCCTCACCAAAATTGATAAAATCTCAATCTTTCCCAACTGGGAGCAGATCTCCTCTAGAGTGAATTCTAGCACCCTTTCCAAAGATGACACAAAAAGATACCAAGTTCATAACAATGAGCAATGTTCAAAAAGGCGGAGGCGGCCACCTAGGCAGGCGTCTAGAACAAAGGCAGCCCTAAGGGAAGGGGCTGGGTTGGGGGCCATATGTTGTTTTGTGTGTGTGTGTTTTGTGTGTATGTGTTTAGTGTGTGCATGGGCATGTATGTGTGTGTGTGAGGTCTCGTATGAAATTCTTAAAGATCATCTTTTTTTTCTTTTGGATTTGTATTTGTGAGAGAGAGGTCTTGAACACTTGGAGGATATGTCGAGAGAGAGAGAGAGAGAGAGAGAGAGAATCCGTGAGAGAGAGGGACCTTGCATCAAGCACTTGGAGGTCATATTTTTCTTTTTCTTCTGACATGTAAAGAGGGAGTATATGGGTCCATGTGTAACTTTGTGAGTGTACGTGTACATGTGAGAGAGGGAGAGAGAGAGAGAAGGGCAATTATTTTTGTTTTGGCGGATTAGAATTTTTTTTTTTTTTTTAAGGGATGGCAGGTTGGCGCCCACCTTAGGCATGCCCGCCTAGGCGGTTTGTTGGCCAAGCCGTACAGGCGACAAGGCGGCCGAATTTTCGTTCATTAGCATTGAGACCTAAAATTTTCTGCCTCGAGCTAAGGATGTGGCGGTTTTCGGCTCAACAATAAACCTTAGCTTCTTTGAGATAAACGTTCAGAGCGAAATAAAGAGCACCTCGGGCACTTGACCATGAAGAAGGAAATACTACTTGACAAAATCAACACCCAGGATATGGCAGAAGAAACCAAAAATCTCTCATAAGGCAAAAGAACAAGACAGTTGTAGGTGAAAACAACTTTCCAAGTGGTCCTCAAATGAGAAGAATATTTTGGCTCCAATGGTCTAGGGTTAAATGGCTCGAAGAATGAGATAGATATTTCGCCTTCTTTCACAAAATGGCCAACTGCCATAGAGGGTGCAACACCATCCTCCATGTTAAAGATGGGGTCCACACCTTCGAAGAGTCCTCACAAGAAATGTTACATGGACAATGACATGGGTGTTAGTGTCATGTGTGTAGCTTGTCTAGCTAGCTCTTCATCCAGAAAATAAGAAACAGCAAAACATGTTTGGACAAAAAAAAATTATTAACGTTCATATAAAAGAATAATCTTAGCACTGCCTAGCCAAAATCATAGTGATAATGCTTACTGTGCTTTAACAAGAGGCCCCAAGTTCAAACTTCAAGATCTAAGGCTTCTTATTATATTATAATAAATAATGCTTTCTTACGATATATATTAAAAACTTCACAAAGTTTGTACATATATGAGTGAATTTCATAGACTTCACAAATTTTGTACATATACATATATGAGTGTTCATAGTTGTAGAATTTACTACTTGACCATAAAAGGTCTCGAGTTCAAACTGTTGGCATAAGCATTTTTCTCCATGTTCCCCTTTCTTTTCCAGATACCTATTTTTAATGACCAAAATGCTCCTAGCTTTAATATAATGTATTTTGCATGCGTCTTTTTTGCGAAGTATTAAAAAGAGTGTCTCTCTCTCTCACTACCCAATATTGCTCTCTATCTCTCTCTACGAATTTCGGACGTGCCTTGTTCACAATAGGGCCCCCAAAAGCCTCGCAAGGTCACCATGAAAGTAGCTACTGCCAAGCCTCATCATTAGTTTCTCTCTCTAACCCAAAAACCCTTGAGGTACTTTCTGTGCAGGAAATTTGGTTGATTTCCAGCAAGCTTTTCTAGTAATTGTATATTCACTTTCATGCTTTTTTCGTGACTAAGTTAGTGGTGAGAAAGTTCCTTTCTTTCTCTTTTTGCTTTAGATGTTATCAATATAAATTTAAGGAAAAACAAGCAAGGAGAAAGAAGTATATATTTGGGCAGGCTGTTGTAGCTTGGGAGGCCATTTAGATGTTATATGCATGCTAGATTTGTTGTTATTAAGTGTATAACAGTAGATGCATGTCATTCATTGACCTACTTGCCATACATTCAATCCAATGCATACTTAAAGAACTAAATAGGGAATGTGGACCACCACTTTGGTTTCTATTGGTCATTTTATGCTAAAAAAGATGATTACACCTTGTAACTTGATATTAGGTGTCTAGCTTGAGTAGTTTAATGCCTTGGAAACTTCGAAACATCATTTCTCAAAAAAAAAACAAAAAAGAAAAAACAACAGAAAAAAAAAAAAAGGGCGGGGACGGGGGGCGCCAGGGGGGTATAAAATTGCTGTAAATGTGGAAACCAATTTCAACAAGTGTAGAATTGAGATTCACCAATTACGGAATCGAGATTCAATAAACATTGAAAATGAGATTCTATAAGTGTTGGAATCAACATTCCTAAAATAAGAAATCGATATTCCAGACTTCACGAAAACGGGTTCTGTAAAGATTCCTAGTCGGAATTGCTGAATCGGGGTTCCGAATTGGAATCACGACCTTCGGTGAGAGATTCGGGTAACTATGGGCCAACTGATTTGGCAAAGGAAGAGTAAGAGGCCTAGATGATTCCAGAAAATGCCCCCAATGCCCGCTGGTCCCAAGTTGCCAAGGGAGCAACCATCAAAATTGAGTTTGGTGGCTCCGAATTCCGGTAGTTGCCAAAGAGACAAACGAGGGATAACGTTTGGCCTCAACGACAAGAGGGACTGCCAGTTAAGAAGGAAGTCCGAGGCTGAAAGAGGCCTGAGGGTGTGATGATTCTGCGCCCAAAAAATGACCATGGACTTGATGTCGTCCCTGAGGGTGTGGATGGGGGAGTAGCTGGCTCTGAAGATGCGTTGTTGTGCTCAATCCAAATGGCCCATATGGTGGCGACCACAGAAGCCTTCCAAAGTAAGACACCAAATTAGCCAAGGGGAGGAATTGCGAGTAGAGGAGCAGGTGTGGTACGGACCAGGGGGTAATCCAGGACCATTGGAATAGTTGTAGTAGGTCCTTCCCCAAGGAGGTCACTATGCTGCAGTGGATAAAGAGATGGGAGTTTGTCCCCTCATCTGCCAAAACATGACGCAGTGGTTTGGGATAATAAGACCCCTCAGTTGGTCGACCATCAACACCCTCTTGGAAAGGGCGATCCAAGAGAAGAATTGTATTTTAGCAGGGATAGAGGAACCTAGGAGGTTGGAACAGGTGACCGCAGAAAGCGAAGCTCCTTAGAAGGAGGGAGGACGAGATTGTAGGGCTATTTTAGCAACTTCTGCCGAGGAAAAGTGAAAAGTATGCAGCCATTCGAAAGATTGTGACAACCCAGCTCTGGCTCCTTCCAAAAGTTCTGACCCACCATCTTTCGATGGCCCAAATGTTATCCTGTCTGGGGAAGAAGACACACACCAACGAGGACTGCAGTTTGCGCTTATGGTTAGAAACGAACTCACCAGAGATGATGCTGAGAGGTGAAGGAGAAGGGCTTTAGAAGGAGAACATAGTTTTGGTAGAGAGGTTTTGGTAGAGAGGGGGAGGTTCCTGTTGGACAGAGCCATTTCTATGCCGATGGCAACCTTTATCTAGTTAGGCTTGCACTTCACATATGCTTTTAAAGTACAGTACACGAATGTTACATCCATTTGCATACAAGTGCATAAGGGGCTAACATGCTGAAAAGGTTTACCGCATGCTGAAAAGGTTTGTTCATTGGCACTCAATTCCCGTACATTGTTATTCACAAATAGTAAAAGAAAGGGTGGAACAACATGAGGATCAAATTACGATTTTTAAAAAGTTTAAGGTCCAGTTTGCACACTCCACTAATTTGTTCTTCAGTAGGTTAATTTGGAAATAAGGGCTAAAGAGTTTTTCTTAATAGGCTTGGGTGTGTTTTTCAGTGCTTTTCAAGTAAATGGGGGAGAGAAACCGGGATGACTGAAACAGACAAAATGCTTCCAAAAATTATTCAATACTGGAGAGGGACAGAAAATAGTATTTCTTGTGATTAAATGGCCAGTCTGAACTGGGCCCAAATCAACGAGGCAACACTATAATGGACAGTTTTTCTGCATATGGACAGCTTTGCTGTATATCAAGAAAAGAAGTACAAATGGCCAAGTTACAGCAGGCCTATAAGCATGGAGTATAACCTGAGAAACAGTGTTTGTGAGTGGATCAAAAATCCCTAATGGACAGGAAAGCTTCCAAACTCCTTCCTGAGCAAGTGATTCTACCTGATTTGTTCAGCTTCTCTAGGTGCATGGGAATAAGAATTTAGATTCCTTTAACCTAAACATATAAATTATTGTTCCAATACTAACCAGTCCCAAGACAAAAGACTGCTCTGTCGGCCCTTTAGACACATTGAATGAATGACCCTCCACAATCAATGGGTCCTTGAGAAAACAAAATAAAATCTTTTGATCCATCAGGACAGTTTTGCTTCTGAAGCATGAAGTCACAAGTGTTCAACAGCCTCATGAAGTCTTCAATGCTCCACGAATGCTATAAATTAGATTCTCAGACTTGGTGAACACTGGTTCCCATGTGAACTACAGTCACTTTGGAGACCACCAAAAATTTGTCCTAGTGCACTCTTGGTCTAGATCTTGTCATCAAGAAAGCATTGTCCACTCTTGGATCCAGTCCCCCTTTCTGAAACAAAAGAGCTCCTTGTCAGCCAGCGCAGACAAGCGAAACAAACTCCACAATTTTGTAGCATCCAAAATTCTATAGCTCCCAAAGTCCTCCATTAGAAACATTAATGCGGCCATCCAGAGAAAGAATTAGACTTACACCCACCACAGACCATCTTTTCTGCCAGCAGATATCCTCATATTTCCAAGCCTCCAAGCTAGGCAGCAGAGAACTATCCTCAGAAGTACCTACTGAGCTCCTTCCTTGGTTTCCATCTACTTCTAGTCACTTACGAAAGAGATCAAAAGCCCATCCATTGAACACGCCACAGAAAAGTGCTGCAATCCATGATGGTCCTACTAGAATCTCTTTCTGCACCACTCCATCCATCAAGACTAGCAGCCTATCTCTCTCATTCAATCCCTTCCTCCCTCGATTCCCTGGAAAGGATCTTTCCATAACAGTGTTTCCTAATCTCTCATTTCCCCCATCCAGTCCATTATTATCCGTCGCCATGACCAATACCCCTTGCTTCTAACCCAACTATCATGGATCCCACCACATGTAGAGCACCCCAATGGACAAAGCCGTCCACAGAATAGTAAAGAACGCAACCTATGACTCTTTATCCCTTTCAAACCTGTTTGTTTTTTTACCACTAGAACCAAGCTTCTGAGAAAGGACCAATATTAAAGGCCATGCTATATCAAGGAAACATCAAATCGCCCATGTCACCCTGCAAACCACCAGACCATATAATATGCAACGAAACCTGAGAAAACAGCACACTAAGTAATCAAAGAGTAGCTCACAAAGAGAGAGTAATATAAATGCGGGACATTGGCCGGACTTGAACCACATGAGGAAGTAGGCAATGGGACTGGGTTCCCAAAACAATAAGCCTCATCAAAAACTTTACTTTCTGAAAGGAACAAAATCTAGAAAGATTGAATCATGTGCATAACCCAGTCTCTAATGTTTTGAATACAAAAGCAATGAAGAATAAAATTTATTTGAATGATCTCTGTCATGGTGCTCTGAATTCGGTCACCAACTGGCAGTGAATTATTTGTTCCTGAAGGATTCAACCTTCCATTAAAAAGAACTAAAATTTGAACTCTACAGATCAATTGAGCCCATACATAAACCAAAAGGTCATAATCATGTAATAAACGTAAATAAGCAATATACCTCTACTTTCTGCAAGCCATCATCTGAATGATTTCTTGACCTACAAAAACAGTTTGACTCCTATTAGAGATGACACCAGAAGGCATTAGCTAAAATTACTAAAAAGCACCTGTGTTGGACATCTAGGTGTATCAAGGTGCGTCAGTACCTCACATAAGCCCAGGCAGGCCACCCAGGGCAGTGGTCAGCTAGGCAGATGCCTGCCAGAAACCTTTGTGAGCGACCACCCACCCCACCCAACCCCCTGGGGTGGGGGGGCCCTCCTTCAATCCTCCCAAAAAAAAAAAAAACAACAACCCAACCCCATAATGAACTCCCCAAATCTGTGCTTCAAGCACGAAGTGGCAGCCGAGGCAGCCAGATCCCCGGCCTCCGAATATTAATACACCTTACAATATTGTAATATATAAAGCAACAGAACAACAAGGAGACTGTAGTTGTAGTTAAATCTACATTATATGTTAACTATGATCATGTACAAAGGACCAGATTGTCAGCAGTCGTAGAATTTATTTCACGGTGAATAATCATATATTTCAAAACCATTATTACTAAAGAACAAGAGGGACAAAATTATTAAATTGACAGTTTCAACAGCACATTAAAAGAGGGCCCTCTTAAATAACTATATGCCATTTATCATTTCCATAAGAGCAATTGCCAAATATTGCAGTACTTATTTTATAGACGATCAATTTTTATTTTAAGCCCAATTTTCAAAGAAAAAGGAAGGCATGTTCCTGCATATAATAGAATGAACGATGACAAGGGAATATTACAAACCCTAGAAACCAATGCTTGTATGATGCCACAAGAGAAAACGTGACCAAGACAAGAATTAGATTGCAGGTAACAATTTTGGTGACACTAATACGAGTAGGTCCCTTTTTCTTTTTACTCTGAAGTAGCAGTGTTTGTGGCTTGATTCTTGCCATAATTTACCTGGCTCTAGATATTTTCCGAACCTGAACAAATAAAGCAGAATGTCAAGACATTTAATAGACAAAGAAAAACAAGAAAAAACAGGTTCGAATGATATAGAATACACACTAACCAACTATCCAGTAAAACAGGTTCAAATGATATAGAATACACAATAACCAACTATCAAGTAACGATACGACATAAATATAACATACACATCAATATCATCTAAAAGCCCTATTATAATGTAATTACAAAAGAATTTTTTATTTGCATCATCTTTAAAAAAAAATCATTGGCATGAGAACTGTGTTTTACAGGATGAGATAAATAAGTGAGTACAAGGTGGATGAGTAGTCTCCTAAGCTCATGCACGAACTTATGAGGAATTCGTTCAAATGCTTGATGTCGTGTCACCAATAGCATCTAGGAAGGAGAGATGAAGCGTTCCACGTTAGTTTGATGGGAACTTAATGTGGTTCTCTTTGTTGAGATGTATTGGCTCATGCAGCATTCCTCATAAAGTACAAGGAAGCGTCGCACATATTTGTATCAATTGCAAAAAGATGAGCTACCTATTTTGCTTATATACACTCCTTATATTGGAAAGGGTGTTCCCTATGGGTAACAGGTCTGTACAGCAATAAGCCAACTAGGTTGGCCTAGAGAGAATATTGGAGGGAATTCTTGGAGAGAATTGAAATTTAAATATTAATTGAATTAGGATTTGGATATGATTGGAAGGTGGTTGGAATCCCTATCCACTATCTCTAGCATGTAGAAACTCATTGGTCAAATTGCTAATTAGGGGGATTCTGAATGAAACATCATATGAAAGAACTTAAGAAAGAAAGAGAGAGAGATCCCATACGATAGGCACACCCCACTACCCAAAAATGTGGCTCTCCTTCTCTACCTAACCACACTCTCTCTAGATCATGACCCCCTTCCCCCTCTCTCTACTCTGAGAAAACTCGAGAGTACTATATATTCCTCTCTTCTCTTGGTACTAGGAGAAAACACGTGTGTTGTCCATCAAGCTCCAGATTAATGGGGAGTAAAACCATCTTAAATTACTACAATCATAAGACCAGTCCTAGAATGACCATCATCACTCTTCAAAATCTTCTGATATGACAACTGAGTTCAAAAAGGCTATTTCTTGATTCCTTTTGTTGTTTCCATTGTGAGTGTCGAGTTAGGACCCAATATACCAACATCAGTGTTTCAAAAAGCGATAGGCGGGTCCTAGGCGGCCTGGTGTCCAGGTTGCCCAGCGCTCAAGCGAGTGCCTGGGCGGACGCTCAGAACCTGGGCGGCCCAGTCGAATCCAAAAAGGATGCCCATTTGAATAAAAAATTGATATATAGTATAAAAAATAAAAATTAGATATTTAGGGCACTTACTTTGAGTTGATTACTCAATCTTCAAACTTTCACCTCAAAGATGCTTCTAAGGACTCAAAATCTTCTAAAACCCCGAAAAGATTTATAAAACGTCAAAAAAATAAATATAATATCTATGGGTGATGTTTTGATCAATTTTTGTCAACTTTGAAAAACCCTTCGATCCTAAAGAAATCATCAAAAACTAGTTTTTTGGGAGTTTTCTCTCTCTAAAATAGGCTCCAATAAGTTTAGGTTTCAAATGAACTTAAAACTATCCTTCTAACCCTTTATATTTTAAAAATAGAAAAAAATCAATACAGGAAAAAAAAAAAAAATTCTACCTCTGGGCGGGCGCCTGCCTAGGCGGTTCCGTACTGCTTAGGCGGCCGCCCAGGGACTGCCGCCCAGATTGGCCCTAGGCCTTCTGGACCACTTAGGCACTAGGCAGTCCGCTTTAACCAACAAAAATGGCTTTTACCGAACTAGTGGAGACCTTTTAAATGTTTCATTTGTCTATGGTAAACTCAAAATTGCTACTGTTGATTTTTTTGGATTTGAAATCTTTAACGTCCCAACAATTTTTTTCTCTTGAAGCTTCATGAAAACTGAACTTTTTAGTTGTCCAACAAAATTGTCAAGGAATTGGTGTGTAACAATGGATGTGATCTACATAATGTTTTCTAAAATCGAAGCACAAAGAGAACAATAATTTAAAAAACAAAAAACACAGAGGAGATGCCAACCATTCTATATTTAAAAGGTCATTATAATAAAATTTTATGTAACAATCAAAATAAGCCATCAGAAAAGCATACCTGAAAGCGACCTTTGGTTGCAGGTTCAGAGAGTTGATCCCTACATCTATGAATTCTTGACCTAGAAGATTCCAATTTTACTTAAAAAATTAAGAAAAATTAGAATTCATCAGAGAAAACTAAGAAACGGAAGTGGCTAAAAAAAATGAAATAAAGAAGTTCCAGAATCAGCATGCCAATAACTTCCACTAACCACCAGTACCAGATTGAAAACTTGAATTGTTTACTAATTAGAAATCCAGTACCGTAAGTACATAAAACAAATCTCGAACAAGCAGAGAAACCCCAAATAAGCAGCGGGGTTGGATATCGTCCCGCCATTAAAGTATGAATTAGAGAGAGAAAATAAAGATCAGTAAGAAATGGTGGATCCAACCTTGTACCTCCTAGGCCAAGGATCTATCAAGGTGCCGCGCTTTGCTACCATAAGATGAGGGTAAAATTCTGTAAGTGCTGACGCTTGGCTTATATTTCAGGTTTTAGCATAGCTACAAATACTGAAAATAGCCGCGACAACGACCCGGTTAATCCAACTGCCGCCCTTAAAACACCATCAGCCACATTTTACAGGGAATTGGGGTCACCAACTAAAACCAGCCGCCGGCTTATGAAAAAAGAGGGAGAATATCGGTCAAAAAGAAAACGGGTTAAAGGAAGACAAATTAACCTTAAGGTTATATTTTTAAACTTTGTATGTCATTCAAGGCCATATGTACAATATTGAAAATTTCTAACGTACGGACCATCCGGGGCAATGGATTGGGTACGGGTCTGGCTGGGTCCAAAATTTGGACTCATACAATGGGTAAACCTCGAACCCGACAAACAAGGGGAAAAAAGGGCTTTTACATGGGAGAATTAGGGTTTTTAGAGAAATAGAATAAACACATAGATCAATAGCAAGGACAATAACTCAGAGATGAAGAGCTCAAGAACAAATGCAGACATTTAACAAACACATACATCAATAACACAGAAATAATAAAGTCAATAGCATACCTTAATCAATAACAAGAATCGAAGCTCAATGATAGCTGAGTAAACCCTAACGAGGACTGTGTCCGAAGAGAGAAGCCTACATGAGATAATGGCGTACTGCGAACAGAGGGCTGGCTCAGGGCTGAGCTCGAAGAGAGGGGTCGTGGTGCGAACAAGGCGCTGGCCCAGGGCTGAATTCGAGGAGAGGGGTCGTGTTGCGAAGAGAGGGTGCTCAACGGCGAAGACGGGAAGAGAGGGTGCTCAGCGACGATGGGAAGAAGGGACGAAGAGGGTAAAAGGTTATCGGGGGTAAGTCCTAAACCAACTTCCTATTTTAAGTTCCGACCTATGGGTCGGAACTTTTTGTTACACTCGAGAGTATGAACATGAACAGTACAGTGGAGTTCTATTTAAAGTCCTCTTTTTTATCAAACACGAGAACTTGTACAATAATGGGAAAGTTCCTTTTTCCTCTTCTAACTGCCTGTTATCAAACACGTCCATAATGTATGTTTAGAAAAAGGAACGTTTTCACTGTTGCTAAAATGGAACATCCAAGAATAAAAAAATCATCACGTGAACCACATAATTACCCAATGTTCGGGTTTAGGAACCCTAAAAATGTGTTCCAGCTTCCTACTATTGTATTATTATCAAAAATACCCCTAGTGTTATGCATTTACGAAACAAGGGCAATTTGAGTTTTTTTAACCCTTTTTTTATAGGATGTACTTAAATGATATAGAAAGTCAAAAGCAATACCCTCAAGTGTAATTTGTTATCTTTTCACCCCAGTGATATTGCATAGGGTGTCAATCCCTTTCTAATATTTTCTTTTAAAAAAAACAAAACAAAACTCAAATACGTTAAGATAACTCGAGGATGTGTTAGTTGGCGAAACAATAGGCTCCAAAAGTCCTAACATTCCACCGTACTATAGCACTCATGCATTTGGTGTGCCGGATACTATAAAGAACTTTCTCATATCAAGATTAAGCCAAAATTGGGGAGAACTCAATTTCATGTCCCGCTTCTCTCCTAAAGAAGCCGAACGTTCATGGAGTTTAGCATTTCAAAGAGAGGAAACCCTTACTCCTTTCTTACCTCTCACTGCCTGAAAGCACTCCCCACACGATGAGTTCACTCCATCAAACGAAGTCATCATATACAACTCCCATAAGTTGGATGGAGAAAGTCCTCCCGCAAGCCTGCAAGATCTTTTCACCATATTCAAGAGAATGGCAAAAGCCGCCAAATCCAACAACGTCGCAATCCTCAGTTGGCTCGTCCATCGTTTTCATGCCCATGAGATAGATAAAACAAGAAAGGTCACATTCCTCAGTTGGCTTTAGTTCGCAGCAACATTCCTGGTTCTTTTATATGCAAGTTTATACTTCCGACCGTAAGGTATTTATGTTGCTTGTGAAATGCCAACCGGTAAGAAATTCACCCTGGCTCAACCACTTCTCAACAGCATTTATGCCAGGCTCACGAGTATCTCTAACCACAACAATCCCACTGAGAGTAAGATTAGCTTTCCTCTGTATACTGTTTAGAGTTGGGTTGCCCCCTATTTTCGATGAACATATGAACTCATCTCCCGAGTAACAAACCAGAGAATTCCCTTCCTAATGAAGATCATGGGGCAAAAGGCTATTTACAAGGACGTAGAGGAGGTGAAAATTTTCTTTCGGGAATGTTCACCATTCCAACACTCCCTCCCTTTGAAATTTGGTGGGTTTCATTGTTATTGGTGTTTGGATAGAGGAGGGGATGAAATCGACAAAGTTCCTACTCGGACGATGGAGCGTCATTTCTTATGGAGCACCTAGAATGGCATCCTCCCTTTGAAACAAGCTTTAGAGTGTCACCTAGAGTTGCACAATCCTTACTATTTCATGTGCCAACACTGCCTGGACTAGCATATGTTAGGTTTTGGGTAGTGGTGATGGATGAAGCACGATGGAAAACTTTACAGATTGTTGATAGCTTGAACGCACGGTCGATAATTTGAACTCACGGTCAATAACTTGAACGCACAACTGATAGCTTGAACTCACGGTCGATAGTATGAACCCACGATCGATAGCTTGAATGCACGACCGACAGCTTGAACTCATGGTCGTTAGCTTGAACCCACGATCGATAGCTTGAACTCATGATCGATTGCTTGAAACCACGACCGATAGCTTGAACTCACGTCCGATAGCTTGAATCCACGATTGATAGCTTGAACTCACGTCCGATGGCTTGAACTTATAATCGATAAATTTGACTACCCCTCATAAGACGAACTTACGCTTGATAAGCCTTGCACTAACTCTCGTCCTAGGAAAAATTTAGCAGCAACTCCCCTAGACCGTGATAAAGCTTGGATTATGCCAGAACACTCTTAATACTAGTCGGACTCCAATAGAAGTCGAAATCTAGATTCAGAGGATATATATGGAAAAACGAAACACTCCTAGTACCAGTCGGACTCCCATAGGAGTCGGAATCTGGATTCGGAGATTATATCTCGAAAAACGAAGCACTCCTAGTACCAGTCGGACTCCCATAGGAGTCAAAATCTGGATTCGAAGGTTATACAATGGGGCAACAAAGATTGGGGTCTGGAGGTACGAAAGAAGCTCGTTTTCTTTGAAGTGTGGATCACCCCCTACTCCATTCAAAACCAATGTACAATAGGGTATCTGGAGAGCTCATGCCCAGGATACAGCCAGATCATAAATAATCAAAGTTTTTGAGTTGCATGCTCAGAAAATTCTCTAAAAACACAACAACAAATTTGATGTTACTTAAAAAAGAAACATCAAAAAGAAATTCTATGAGTTCATTTTTCTCAAATCCTTCTTCAAAATGTTGTTGAAAATCTCCATTAACTTCCCTCCCTTCTCTCTCCCAAATTCATACATCTCCATATATCTTCTTTCTCTTGCTCAAGGCTTATATAGTAGAGAAATAATATAATACAGGGAGAGTAGAGAAGTGGCAAAGAGAGAGAGAGAGAGAGAGAGAGAGAGAGAGAGAGATGTATAATGCCAAGTGCATGACACTTGTTCCCCATGAGGGCATGGATGTAAATTCATCATGACCCAGCAACAAATAAAAAAACTAATAAGACAATACAAAAAGGTGGGAGGAAGAAGTGGTGGTTCATGCATACCAAAAGAGTATGATGGACTATCACCAATTTCAACATTAAAAATGCTTTTGACACTCCAAATTTTTTAATAAAAAATTAACAATCCCCCACTAGTTTAAAAAACCTACCAGACAGAGAAAATAAGTAAGATCAGGAAAGAAAATACATAAGTGAAGGTGTCATTCAGACTTGAACCTCTATAGAGTGTTATACAAAGCACTTATCAAGACAATGAGTGAACGAATCTTGAACTATGTTCATAAAAGATAAGCCTCCCACATACCACATATTTCCTTTCAAAAGCTGTGATTTTCAAAAAGGCCTGTGCAATAATGGCCATGCACTCTACCGGCTTTTCATGAGTGCTCTAAGGAATGCCCAATTCCCATAGAAAGTGGCCTTCACCTCCACGCTCATATAGGTAAGTTCATGGACGATGTTTTGCAATGGAACATCCCAGCCTAGGCCTTACATTATCTAGGCAAATGGAATCATTAAGAGCAAAGCTCAACCTCACGATTCATCGTAGTAAATGTACCACACAGCTAGGGATGGGGTAGAAATTTATAAATTTCCATAATATAAAAACTTTGTGGTAGCCACAACCATCAAACATCACAGGAGCGACTTGTTTTCCCCTTGATCCTTGGACTTGGGATCTACTTATCCTAGGTAGGGCTCCCATCGCCTTATGGAATAAATTCATTTGGGCTCAATCCCATCCCTCTAGCTTTCTTCCAGACTTGGTGCTTGGCAAGGTTTTTCTCAAAATTCTACTAAGTGCTAGGTATTGCTGATATGGAGTACAATTATGACTCCATTTCAAGCATAAGTCTGACTTTGCCTCAAGCGACTATAACTGGATTTCTCGAAGTAAATCCCTAACCATTCACTTGGTTTATAAAACTTCACAGTCACACCGCATGAGACTGCAGGCTTGGGACTTGACCATGTGGTACGTCTACTAGCAAGTTCCTTAGCCACTTAGCCTTCACACAATGGAATCCAAGGAAATTTACTCCAATCATTTAGAGATACAAATCTACCTCTTGAAATCCAAAAAAAACACCTCACCACAAGAGGAGATACATCAGAAAGTCATCGATTCATAAGAATCATGAAAACATCATTGTACTTATAAATATAGTAGAACACCTGCATTATGTAGGTCATTGTCTATAGTTCATTTCAAATATCTTAAGACCCCAAAGATCGCATCTAATGCTCTTAACCTGGGTATAGGTACTTCTACTCAGTTTACCCATAGCAAAGGCTATATCTGGTCTAGTACATCACATTGCATACATTATACATCCAATGACTTTGGCATAGTCCAATTGGGAAACTGGACCTTCATGGTTATTTTTGAGTTAATTGTGAGCATCGTAAGGGGTTGAAACTGGCTTGGAATCAAAGCGATAAAATCTTTTGAGCACTTTCTCTATATAGAGGTGGTTAGATGCCTCGATCTCACCCTCCAGGTCGGGTTGACCTGGTGGCACGTGTCTCGAGGTCCAAAGAGAACCCAGGACTTGAGACTGCTCTCTCGGGAACCTTGTTAAGAAACAAGGGCAGGTATACCAACCGATGAGAGAGAAATTTAATGTGAGGCAGGACACACCTCATCTGGGTTCGTGACTCACTGGGGCTCACTCGTGTGGGCGCACTTTTAGATCACGATGGAATGCCCCACAGTCCTTCAACTGGTTAGAAATCGCCTCCTCCTATTTCTGCAATCACACACATTAATTTTACAAGACAAGTGGGCCAAGGGACTCCACCTTGTCTTTGGCCGAATGCACATAGTCATGCGCATTCAAAGGAAGAAGGAAAGAAGAAGAGGATAGCGATTGGGGTGATAAAAGAAGAAGGAAGACATAATAGAGGAAAGGGAATAAAAAAGAGAAATTTAACCAGGTGGCTAAATTGACACAGTGGCTAGACCAGTAATTGATTGACCCGGGGTGGTAACAAGACGAGCACGGTAACTTAGACCGGCACTACGGCAATATTACTTGATGACAGAACGAACACTAACCGGCCTGGCACGATGGCTAGCCGATCTTGGTAGCAAGATGGGGGCAGTAACTCAAACCGACATGGTGGCAATACTGTTCGATGACGGGACTACCATGGCAGTGTTAATCTTAACCTCCCTTGGTCAAACGAGAGAAAAAGAGGGAGATGAAAGAGAGAGGGGAGAAAAGAAGAAAGAGAAGAGAGAGAAGAAATAAATAAGA